TATATAATTAGGGGGTCCCTGCTCCATCTCGCCATCAGTTTGGGGGTGCTTGGCCTGGAAAACATCTAAGACCCATGAATTAAATAATTAAATTCCCTAAAAAATATATAAAAGTGATAATAATTCAGTAACACACACAAACATAGTGAAATATTAAGGTGAAATGTATTTTTAGCGGGACGACAGTCCGCTGCATCGTTAATTTTGGGGTCAAATGTTAGGAAATCTCGGCTCTAAAGCAGCTGAATTGATATCTTAATCTGTCTTTTTTTCTGACTATGAGCTAAATAAAGAAAATTAAACAGTCAAGGAAACGTTTAGCAGTCCATTCTGGTTTTTCAGACTGAATTTCCACATATCAGAATAATTACTTTCATGCCGTTTCCACCCTATTTTGCGGCATTAAAGTAAGTTTAAGCCAGAAAAAGTGTCAAACAGGATCCTCTCCATCTCTTCATAACGAAATCAATTTATTAAAATGGTTGACGAGGCAAACTGGTTCAAATCTGTTCAGAACGACTTTGGCCTATTTGTCTGTGAAAGCAGACAAAGTCCCAAGAAATCATAGCATCTTATAAACCTTTTAACTTGGACAGCAACGTTCTTCTATTTTGCCCAGTACTGTAATGTCTGCTGGTAGTACCTGGCCCCAGAGTCCCTGTAGCAGCGCTCCAGCCCATCACAGGAGGTATGGCTCCCACCACCGCGCCCACCCAGGTGTTGACGATGCTGAGCCTCTTGAGCGGAGTGTAGCAGCAGGTGTAGAGAAAGATGTTGAGGGCGCCCAGGAAGCCTGTGAGCGGGTTTACCGCCAGCGTCAGCAGAGCAACTCCAGGAATGCCACAGGCCACGGCAAATGACACAGCATGCAGTGGGCTGATAAGAACAGATGAAACAAATCAGTTAAAACGGAAAGATAAACACAGACGAGACAAAAGCTGAAAAAAGATTACTGAAGTTACAGAGATTTAAACTCAGGGAAGAGCTCATCACTATCACTACTAACTAAGGGATGATAAAGTTTTGCAAGCTTGTGGAAACACAAGATAAGACGAGGATAGCTGCGTTCATTTAGCACCGACATGATCAGACCCACAGGGGCCGGCATGGCTGCCTCTTAGAACCAGAGCACAGGAGGAAATCCATCTGATAAGAGCTCATCAGGGATAAAAGGCGGCCTCAGCAAGATGGCAGAACGTGAAGAAAGGCCAGAGATCAAAAGGAGACCTGGTAAAACCACAGCAGCTCAGGCTGACGGCTGGATGAGGAAGACTTCCTCCTCCTCCTCCTCCTCAGGGGCCGCGGCGGTGAGGTCTGGTTCAAATTCAGCACGAACTGCTCCACAGATTACAGAGAGCAGAGATTAACTTCTTGACCAAACGCAAAAGGAAAAAAAAGGCAAACGGGGTCTTTATTTTGTCGGGCAGCCATGCAGTGAGATAAGAACATTAATGTGACCGGTGGTGTCACGGCCGTTTCATGTGGCCTGAGGTGGAGCCGATCAGGCTTCCTACGAGCTGTCGACAGCGCGCCTGTGGGCGGGTCGAGCTGGAAAGATGGTCGGAGGTGGGTTTGCTGCCCGCTGCTTACAGTTTAGAAAAAAAATGTTTAAAGTGTTGCGGCCGGCGGGTTCAGCTCCAATTAAAGCCAGAAACTCAATTCAAACCCAAAACAAGACTTTAGACAGGAAATATATATAAACATACAGAGAAAATTAACAAGGAGACAGCAGCAACTGTTAAAGCTGAACCTAACGAGAAGATGAAGAGCAAGACGATTAAATGAATGAATGAATTAATTAATGACTGAATGAATGAATGAATGAATGAATGAATGAATGAATGAATGAATGAATGAATGAATGAATCAGTAAGTAGATGGATGGATCAAAGGATGGAGATAAGGACGCCGATAAACATTAACTCAGACAGGATGATAAAACCCGGACTACATACTGATCAGATTAGAACAAATTATCTTCAGAAATCAATATTTATGTTATTTATACAATTATTGAGTCAATTTGGTCCCACTGTTATTGCAAGCAAAGAGCATGTTTAATAAATAAACAAAACCCATTTGGCAAACTAAATTTTGGAAAAAGAATTAAATGTTCTATTAATAAAAAAAAAAAGGGTTTTGGCTGTAACTTTAGCGATTTGTCAGATTTTGTTTTTTTCAATTTGTTTTCATATTTTTATTTTTTGAAATTTCTTTTTTTTTCAAATCCCATTTTCTTCCTTTAAGGGGGCGGGCCTTCCTGTGGAGTGAGGGGTATTTCTATTGGTCCGTAGGGCAGATGGCTACAGCATTGTATTGGTCAATATTTGTCAGGAGTTAGTGTTTTTATTTGGCTTAAAGTGAAGATGAAAAGAATGCAAATTGATAAACATACATTTAAAAAATAATTTGGCAATAGAAAAACTGTAAAAAAACTGAAAATATTTTTTTGGGGAAAAAAAATACGGTAATTACATTGAAAAAAAAAAAACTTATTTTGATGAAGACGTTTTTTTTTATTTTTTATTTTTTTATTTCTGCATTGTGTTTTTTTCTAATTTCAATTTACATCTTTTTTTTTTATTCATCAATTTTTTTTTTTTTTTACCTCCAATTTGTTATTTGCTGCCGTACGCAACATGATGTAGATTTAGGTTCTGATTCTCTTTATTCTTTTCTCCTAACATTCTCTCAGTCCCCGTTCCTTCCTATCCTGACTTTTCCAGATTAATCCTGTGTAATCCGTGTTCTTTCAAGTGAGCCTACCCAGTCAGACCAGTATAGTCAATACACGTTTATCTCTTTAGTTTATGCCTTTAGTTTTTTATGAAAAACACACTTTAAAGTGGTAGGGAAATAACACTTAAATGTCAAATCATTCTGGCTTAAACATGTATATAAATATACTCTTTATCAGATTATATTGTCCCAAAATTTAGACAATTTATATTAAAAAAAAAAAAAAAAAAAAAATCATGTCTTAAAATCTGTGATTTTCGTTATCTAACCAAAATTCTGCCAATCATATATCAACAGTCATCTGCCAATAAAATTCTTTGGGTCATATAGCATCTTGATTCACATTTTGCAGATAATATACACAACGGTTGTAATACGAAATAAGAATATTTAACATTACCATTGAGTTACATCCCAGTGTTCACGGGGACGGACATCTTCGTCCCCGCTTTCCTCCTCTAAATAAAACATGGATGACGGAGGAGACTCATCCACGACCTCCGACATTAAACTCTCCTCCTCTTGCATGTTTCC